TTGTACGTTAATTATACGCGCAACTTATCGGCTAATATGTACAACAGATAATGATGACGCGAACATCTAATATATACAGGCGAGCGCCAAACACTTATTTAGATTAATATAAAAATAAACGAACATATCATTGTAAATATAATTATTTCTCACAGCACACAACTCATTATTACGGGAACTTGCACTTGTGTTTGCGTGCATATACAGATGATTGCACTTAACAAAAACGTGTCTTGAGTAAAAAAAAAGAAAAAAAAGGAAAGATGAAAGATGATCCTCCGATGTACATTTCACCTTCAGTTCTCTTCTAGCACAATTCTTGCTTAATGTTATCGACGTGTGCTTTTTATCATCTCTTATAATCTCAAATTAATATTTTCTTTGTTTAAATATTGCTTTTCCAAAATTTTAAGTTTTGTTTTATTAATTTCTATTTCTAAGTTATTTATTTCATTTTTATGCTGTATTTCTACTTCATTTAACTGTTTTAAATGGTTTTCTTTTAGTTTTGCCATATTTTCCTCATGTCTCAGTTTAGCAATCGCTAAATGTTGCTCTTGATCTATAACTTGTTTTATACGTTGCATTCTTAAGTTTTCTTCTGTATCTGATAAATTCAATAATTATCTCTTCTTCCTTTGGGTATCGGTAGTACAAGACTGTTTTTGATATGTTTTTAAAGTATCTGTAAAACAAAAAAGTAGTTTTGCTATTAGATTTTGTACGTGTCAAAGAGACATTTTAATATATATAATAATATTTAAACATATAACTTATGTAATATATACCTTGTAAATCACCAATTTTTATATCGCTCTCATCATTGTCTACTTTATTTACATTTTTATTACTAGATATTATATTGAATGCAAACTCGTGTTTATCTGAAATACATAAATAAAAGTTAATGAAATAAAAGTAAAACAGATTGACATCAGAAAAAACTCAATAGGTTTACATTGGCAAAAGCTCAGAGATGATATAGTTAATTTTAAAGAAAAAAGTAGTTTTGTTATTATATTTCATACATATTATAAAGAAATATTAAAATACAATAGCATTCAAACATATAACTTGTGTAATAAATACCTTGTGAATCAACAATTTTTAGATCGCTGTCATTATTCGCCAAACTGTCTAATATATCTGCACTTTCATTAGCAGACATTATGTTAAATGTCAAGTCACGTTTTTCTGAAATGCATATATAAAGTTAATAAAACAAGAGTAAAACACATTAATATCAGAAAAGATTCGATAGATATAAATCAATAGATATAATCTATATATATAGATTAGAAGTAATATCAATAAATATAATAGATAACACTGTCCCACAAATTAAAAATTTTTAAAAAATTTTTTTGTTGCTAAAAATGAAACCGTTAATGAAATTGCTTTATCACGTCACATTTTGAGATACTTTAGCTCAAAAATAACCTCAGTTTACCTTAGATCAATATTATTAATTTTAGACTTACCTTCAATTTCTGTTTCAGTCATGTTTGATGAGAAGAGCACTGGTGCAGTTTTCATAAAATGCGGTGCAATATTAAGGATATCAGGATCAACGTTTGTTTCTGCTTCCTGTGGTTCTCCACCAGTTGCGAGGCGTGATTGTTTCTCTTTGGTTAAGGCATCTCTTTGAGTTTGCTTTAAGTTTGCCCACAATTTTTTTAACTGTTACACATTTCTCTGTAACCATAATTTTGTATAACAATGTATTAAAGCATATATTATATTTGAATTATAGTTCTTACCTCTTGAGAAATTAATGTTGATTCGTTATATTCTTCACATATGTTATTCCATGCGATATCTTTATCTTTTAATGTTGTAGCATCACTTTTCTTTATTTCTATTACATTTTTATATTTTTCAAGTATCTGGAAAAATACTTTTTTCTCCATCAACGTATAATGTTTGTTTTTACTTGAACTAGGCTTCTCTTTGCATGACATTATCTGTAAATAATACAATATTTAAATATAAAAATGATTAAATGAGATTTAAATAAATATCACTTTATATTTATCCAAATAAAATATAATTAAAAATATGGAAATAATCTTAAGATTCAGTAAATAAAAAATAATATTTGATTACAAATTGACATGCATCACATAAACCGTGCGTGATTATCAACTTACGTGAACAACAGGTAGGAGGTGTCAATCCTGTGGAATATACAAGATCAAGAGCGTGTGCAACAGGCCCTGTATTCCGAGTGACTTTCACCGAAATCCACGAAATCCTCGGTCCTTCGTATTACAATGTGCAAAAGAATGAGTGTGTGGAGCGGTAGTCGAGATTCTCGATCCTTCTACTTAGGTTATGGTACAGAAAAATGCAATGTTCCACCGAAATCCTCGGTCCTTCGTATCACGAATATCACGATGTGCAAAAAATGAGGGTGTCGAGCGGTAGTCGAAATTCTCGATTCTTCTACTTAGGTTATGGTGCGGACACAGAAAAATGCAATGTTCCACTGAAATCCTCGGTCCTTCGATCGTATCACGTTGTGCGAAAGAATGAGGGTGTCGAGCGATACAAGATTCTCGATCCTTCTACTTAAGTCATAGTGCAGATACAGAAAAATGCAATGTTCTCATTGGTGGAACGTACAGAAATATCACGGAAACAGCCGATTCCTAAATAAGCACTATTTTAAGCATATCTTCGCGAAGTTGACTCTAATAGCCAATTTCTTCACCGTTAGATAACTCTATCCTTCGGTTAACCTCACTCTTCATTTCTTTCTAACCTGCCCCCTTAGAAAAAGATGAAGAGTGAGGTTAACCGAAGAATAGTTATCCAACGGTAAAGAAATTGGCCCTAAATCAAATAAGAACTTCTTAGGCAAAAACTTCTTCGCAAAGACAGTCTTATTTCGTCACTATGAAATGTAGCATCCTCGAGATGATCTGATTTGGATAAGACGGTCTTCATCAAGGCAGTCTTAAGTACTGCTTTGAGAACGGACTATGAATACCGCCCTAAGTATCTCCATCAACCCTTTCCTTACTAAGCTGCCTCCATACAACCATGCCTCCATCGGGATACTGTCTACACCTACCGCTTTGTTCTTTTTCATCCCTCTGGCCACTTCTGCAACCTCCCCTTCCTCCAAATGTGTTCCTACAAGCTCATCTTGTACTGCTCCTACTTCGTTATAACTTCCATCTTCCTTGTTAGCCCGCTTCTCATCCGTGCCGCCTAATAGCTCCTTAAAGTACTCTTTCCATTCCACACAGCTAATGTTATTATCTTTCCAGACTTTCTTCTTCCTGTTACTGTTTATAAATCTCCAAACTTCTGCACCGTGCCTTAAGTTCTTTAGATCCTTTTCTTCCTCTTCTCTCTTCTTCTTCCTTTTCTGTTCATATAACGCCTTCATATTACCTTTCTCTTCAATGTACCTTCCTCTAATTAACTTCCCCTTCCTCTATTTTATATATGTTCTCTTCACATCCCTTTTCTTCCTCGTGCATTCTCTGTCCCACCAGTCCCTGGAACCAATTTTCCACCTTTTAACCTTTATCTTCTTCTTTATCATAGACTCCTGGACTAGCTCCTTCAATTTGCTCCATTTTTCCTCAATTGATCTTCCCTGTTGCCAGTCATCCCATTCGAGATCATCTGTCTTTGCCTTGTAACACCTTATAGCCTCCTTATCCCAACATGTTTTCCATCTTCTTTCAGTGTTCTCATCCTCTACATTGACCCACTCTACGTCTTCTTCATTTCTTCTGCTGCTATCTTCCATTATCGCAATTATAGGCATGTGGTCCAAGTCCACCCTCGCATCTACAATAAATTTTTTAACGCAATTATACAATTTTTCGCAGACAATCACATAATCAATTACCGAGTTACCTCTCGCGCTTACAAATGTATTGCGACGCTATTTTATACTGCCGCGTGGCGGTTATGCACCACGGTACAAAGGTCCAGCGTCACAATGATGCAGAGCGGGTGTCAGAGCGGGATACGAACGCGAAATGTGTTGGGCGCCAGGTGTGGAGAAGGCCACACCACCTTTTGCTCCAAATAACTCGAAACGCGCGAAGTGACTTCAAATGATCCTAGATAATCTACGCTAAAGATTCTCTCGGTCCTCGTAAGGCTCCAAACCGAATAACACTGCTCTGACCGCTAGCGGCGGCTGCTCCATCAGCGGCAGAGGGTCGTAGTTCAATGACTGGGTAACTCGAGAAGACGTTGACAGTGGTTAGGCGAAACAAAAAAAAGAATCTGCGGAAAATAGATATCAGAAATTGTATTTGCACAGCATGACGGGATAGATTCCCATAGTAATGGGAAAAGTATTTCACGAAAGATACACGCGAAGACTCTACAAGTGGTCTTCAACAAATACACGCATCACGCTAACTATTCTCCGCGATCGAGAAACGCCGATCTTTAGGTAAGATCCGAAAGGTAGAAATATTACCCGAAGACGGAATATGACTCGCCCCAATAGAAGCGCAAACTCGAAATATCCTCCGCAAAACAAGAACGCCAAACTCTAAAGGTTGTGAGCAACCTAGAATTATTATCCGCTAAATAGACACGCCAAACTCTCAATAATATAGCCGCATCATAGAAATATTACCCGTAAAATAGAAATATTATTCGTAAAATCAAAACATTATCCGCAAAATAGAAACGCAAAACTCTAAGTAGGATAGCCGCAAAATAGAAATATGATCCGCAAATTAAAAAATATTATTCGCAAAATAGAAATATAATCCGCAAAATAGAAACATTATCCGCAAAATAGAAACGCAAAACTTTAAGTAGGATAGCCGCAAAATAGAAATATGATCCGCAAAGAAAAAAATATTATTCGCAAAATAGAAAGAGGATCCGCAAAAGAGAAATAGTATCCGCAAAATAGACGTTAGATCGGATAGCCGCAAAATAGAAAAATGATCCGCAAAGTAGAAATATTATTCGCAAACTAGAAATAGTATCCGCAAAATAGAAACGCAAAACTTTAAGTACGGTTCGCCAAACAGCACCGCACATCTAAGCACCACGCGGGTCTCACGTCCTCGGCACGTGATCTGGACGCCTCCCGCGGGCGTCGCCGAGCGCACAATTAACACGCGGGGGCCGCGGTATGCCGCTATAATTACCTCCGAATCTAACACACAAATTAACGGGATGACTGTGGGGCCTGGCCGAACCTATCGATAATCGGACGCGCAAAAGAGCTACCGTAATACGCGACAAGTAATTGTCCCTTCGATCGCCCGTACTTATACGATGGTTGAGTCGAAAAGGAAAGAAGGCCCACCGCGTTTCTACGGGCAGCGACGGGCGGGGTATGTCAGACCCGACTTTTAACCCACGAAAATCCCGAAGGATCCACGACAACAATCCCGAAGGATTCAGGATAAGGACGCGTAGACCACCATCGGATCATACGCGCCTCTCTCAAAATTACTCGGTACGCGACCCTCCGCCCTCGCTGCCACCTGTTACCTCGTCGGGATTGCCGGCCGCTCACGTCTCGCCAATCCTCGGTCCTTTGGTCTTGACAGGGCTTGTAGGGCCGCCGCCCTCGCTCACAATCCGCCCTGGGTCCTCGCCGGACCGCCGCTCTCGCTCGCAAGTCTTCGCCGGACATCCGCTCTCGCTCGCTAGTCCTCGCCGGACGTCCGCGCTCGCTCGCTATCGGCCCCACAGTGACGATCCCTCTCGCGCCTTCGGTCCTCGGCGCCTCGCTCGGTGGTGCGTTTCCGCCCCGTCGAATGGCGCGAGTTTGCCGAAACTAGGGCCATACGGTCGCTTCCTCCTGAAAACGTCACTAAACGGCCAGAAACGCCCGCGCAAGATAAATTGGTCCACCCCATCGCGAGGATAGAGTCCGGGGCTCCGCAAGAGCCACAGGCTCAGGTGACGGGCCCAAGGGGCCACGTCACAGTATATTCCCCTTCCCAGTCGCCTTTAGTCATACCATTCAAGATGTACCATCCCTTATTTTGTACCCACTCCACCACATTCCATTACTAATAGTTTTATCCTTGCTTTTCCTTTCCAAACCTCCTTCTTTTTCTTCTCCGCCCCATAACTCACCAATTCTAATATTAAAATCCCCACCAATAAATGTGCGTTCTCTATCTTTATTTTCCAACCACTACTTATCCAAAATTTCTTCCATACTGCTCCAACCTTCCGTATTGTATACCGATATTATATTTATTAATTCCCCTCCCTCAGTAATTTCAGACAAAATAAAACCTTCCTCCCTTGACTTAATCAGCTCCACCCTATCCACCCTTCAGTTTTTCTTTATACCTACTAGCATCCCACCTTTAGCCCTCCCTTTCTTTTTTAATCTAGTAGCGTAAACACAATCCCATATGTGAGAGTTAGGTAACCAGCTTTTTATAATTTCCCATTTTTCCTTGTCAATCCAAGTTTCACTCAAACTCACAAAATCATAAACCTTGATGTAATTTCAAAAGTCTCTATCTTTACTTTCTAAACCTGCCACGTTCCAAAATATAATTTTCTTACCTATTTCCTGTAACCCTCCCTTATTTCCGTTCTTCTCCACTTCTTGGCTTATACAAAACTCTGCTCTTTGCTTCCATCAATATACAAGATGTGTTAACTAACTATACATACCTTTTTTTGTAGAGCGTAAAATTATCTACAATAATGATCTAAACAACGTTTATCAAGTCAGTCGTTTAGCTTAATAAAGAAATCAGCGTTTGTCGTACGAAAAAAAATACAAGGGTTTTTTTGTGTTACAAATTTCGTCCACAACAAGATGCATGTAATAAAATTTATCTCAAATGAATTCTAAGACCTGAAAACAGCGAAAAACTTAGACTACTTCAAAAATTCAAAATTTTTTGCTTACATAGCTACAAACTAAAGAAAAAGGGTCTAAAAAATCGATTGCACCATGAAAAGTATTCTTTGCAGTTCTCAGATAATGTGATTTTTAGGAGATTTTTAATTATATTTTAAATTACTGAAAAAAGTCATTGGTGCAACATCAAAAAAACGAAATAGATGGTTTTCGGGATCCGAGTCTTGGAGTTTGACGGCGCGTGCAAGCTAAACGACTGAGTTGATAACGACTGACAATAAACGTTGTTTAGATCATTATTGTAGATAATTTTACGTTGTACAAAAAAGGTATGTATAGTTAGTTACCCTATCTTGCTTATTTTTCGAGATATTTGAGAAAAAATAAAAAAAAATCGCGTTTTTTGTTGATAATATTGTCAATAACTTTTTATTCCCCGTTAATTTTGCGAAGTAAAATAAATTCCACTTATAGCACTGGTGGTTGCAATCTGGGAAGATTAATTGGGAGGTTCGATGTCTAACATGACTAGCCTAAACGCCCTAATATTGCTCGGAAAATCAACCGTATTCTACTCCCTAGCTTTTGCTTTTGACGAGTAATAATTCTCTTTATTGATAACATTCCTCTGTGTAACCAATAATATAGTAGGATAGAAATAAACAATAAATGTGCTTTATTCCTGATAGTTTTTTATTGATAGCATCAGTAAATAAATAAAAGTTTGCAATCGTTATGATATTTAATACGTGGTATTATATAGAAAATTTCAATTTCTTTTATGTGCGCATCTAGGGTATGAGTACATACTAACACTGATAACGAACGGTTTACGGACAAGCAACAAATGATGA